GGCTCCTCCATGCTACGCAGCACCTTCCCTAGGCGCTGTTGTTACTGTAGGAACTACATGAGTTTTACCGTATTATAGGGGCTTTACTGTATGTAAAGTATATATAGCTCTTGGTAAAAGCTCAATAATTATTAGCTTAAACTGATAAAGCATATTATTAAATTGTCACCAGCAGAGAGTTTAAAGTGTTGTTATCCATACTTTACAGATGGAAACACAAAGCTCTAAGTAGCTTAACCTCTAACTAGTTAGAAAAACCAGGATTTGTATCTGGGTCTTTGAGATAATAGAGACAGAATTCTTTCTCCAAAGTCAGGGCTTCTTAAGATATTGGTGGTTTAAAAAAAAAAAATTTGGAATACTTGTTTTTTTCCATTGTATTTATAAAAGTACTGATGTGTGACAGATTGGGGGGTACCCAACGATCAAACGGATTATTAGAATAATGAAGTTTAAAAGGATATTCACAGCAAGAGCCCTATTTTTAAAGTTATTAGATTCAACATGTATAAAATTAATCTTCTCTGTTATTTTGAAAGTTGGCTACACTGAGTATCTGAACTTGTCTTGTGTTTGACCTTGATAAGAGTTTCTTAGATTATCTGCAGCTTTCACTATGGTTAGTACTGTCCTAAGCTACTTGTTTTCTCCATACGGTGAGTAGGTGGATCACGTGCATCAGAATTTTCTGGGGGTACTTGCTAATGCAGATTTCTGAGTCTCACCCTAGCTTACTTGGATGCAATGATTGATATAAAATCCAGAAATCTGTATTTTAGGGAGTAATATTTTTTTTATTTTATAACAGTTTATTTTTACATCATTTTGTACATTTTTCCACCCATCTCAATTGTAATCCCCGCGGGTTTCCCATCACCAAGTCACCCGTGTGCCATCATCATAATCCCGTTCACTTTCCTCCCAACCCCCCATTTTTTTTATCCCATTCCCCACTCCATCCCCACAAAATGTCTCTGGTATATGGTTGTTCATTATTCTTGTTATTTTCTCGCCGGGTCCATTATACTCCTGCTATGAGTGAAACCATCCGGTATTTTTCTTTCTCTTTCTGGCTTATCCCACTAAGCATGATCTTTTCCAACGACATCAAAGTTGCTGCAAAAGACATGTGTTTCTCTTTTTTGGCTGCTGAGTAATATTCCATTGTATATATGTACCACATCTTTTTAATCCAGTCATCTACTTTTGGGCATTTGTGCTGCTTCCATGTTTTTCCAATTGTAAATAAAGCAGCAATAAACAAGGGGGTACAAGTATCTTTTTCAATTAGTGTTTTCGTGTCTTTTGGGTAGATACCTAAGAGTGGATTGCTGGGTCGTAGGGAAGCTCCATGTTTAGCAGTTTGAGGAACTTCCAAATAGTTTTCCATAGTGTTAGGGAGTAATTTTAATAATTCTAATACACTCTTAAGTTTTAAGAATCACTATTTTTCCAATGCTTTCTCACCTCTACAAATAATAGCTGATAGGGTAAACAGTGAAGTGACTTAGTGTTTTATTCTATGCCTCCCATCCCTATCTTACTGTTCTGTCTCATATATATATATATTTTTAATTATTAAGGACTTCCTTTCCATAGAATTTCATGGAGGGAACTTACATTCTGACTCATTTTAATGCATGTCTACAAACATGTACTGGTGCAAATTGCACGCTGGCTGGAGGAGAACAGATTGCAGATGCTTGCGATGAGTGGTGAGTGAGTAGAGACAGAACAAAGTGCCGTTCTGGGGTCACTTGAGCGTGTGTGTACATGTGGGCATCACAGAGACAGCTGAGATGGAGTGACCAGAAAGGGAGAACAAAACCCGGAGCATGCAGACTTTGGAAGCCTATAGGAAGAAGTGACCAGTGATGTGAAACACTGCCAATGGGATGAGTGAGGTGAGGATGGAACACTGACTGTGGATCAGCAACGTGGAGTCAGGGAATGTTCCGTGACGGAGACAAGACCTATTTCATGGACATGGGAAAGGTCTGACTCAGTGGAGTCAGGTGAACAGCAAGAGGGAAATTGGAAGCCGTGATGATGGGCAGTTATGTCAGGGGGTTTTACTGTGAAAAAAGAAAGGATAGGAGGTAGAAGGTAAAATGGAGCAAGACGCTTTGTTGGTGGGACAGGGAAATGGAAGTTATTTTGAACCCTAACAGTGACTGACTGTGATTTCTGTAGAGTCATATATTTGTTCCAGTTTATTCCTGCAGTGTTACAGAAACAATTGTCTACCACAAACTTTTCTCTTCAAGCTCTTTTAAATTCTACTCCCTCCCTAACCCTATTGCCCAAGAGTCTGCAAATCACTCTTGTTCCTTACATAGCTGAATTTGAATACATTTGAAAAAAAATTGATTTTTTTATTTGCTCTAAATATGTGTTTGAGGTATTTTAAAGCAGGTTTATTTCTAACGATTTCATGCATAATGCTTTTGTTTTACACAGCCACATACTTAACCATAATATAATAATGCTATTAATACCACAATTAATAGTGATTTCTCAATATCATCATAATACCCATTCTATATTCAGATATTTCCATTTGTCCCTAAAGACTCAAGGAAGGTCTGTGCATTGCATATGGTTCTTATGTCTTTTTAAACCATTTGTTTTTCATGCCCATCGACTTGATGACAGCAGTTCTTTTGTCCTATAGACAATGTTGCTTTCTGAATTGTCTGATAATTATAGTGTCATTTAGCTTGTTCATTTTTCTCCCGTATTTCCTATGAACTAGAATTATATGTGATGGCTTGAGCATCTACAGGTTTAGTACACTGGCAAAGGTATTTTACAGGTAGTTCTGTGCACTGCATGTTGCCTTATGGCAGAAAGCACGTACTATCTATTTAAATGTCATATTGTTAGTGATTCTAAGACTGACCAGGATAAGGTAGAATCTGCCTGAATAATGAAAGGTTCTTTTTAAGATAGGAATAAGGATAGATGTCTGTGTAATGATAGGAATGATTTTTGAGAGAGGGCTACTATTCATGCAGAAGGACATTTCTCTAAAAGAATGTAACTTAATAAGGACATGTAGGATACAGAGGTCAGATGTTGGATGTAGCCAGTTCAACTACAATACCAAGAGGTCATGTGCGCATGAATGCCGGTAATGTGGGTGACTGTGGTAGAAGTTACAGTATAGTAGCTTTTTTTCCTCGTGTGGTGAAGGTAAAGATATTAGGAAGTTTGAAGGGTGACTACAAATCATCTCCTGGAGAGTGGCAGATGAATACACTGGGTAATAGCATATGGCGACCATTTGGGAGCTGCTTGTAGTTAATCATTGTAAAGTTGAAGTGAAATCAGTGTTGCTGTGTGACTTTATTTTTCCTAGTCATATTCAGCTGCATGCTTGCATGTGCAGGAGAATAAGTTGAACTCCAATTGGGTAAGACAAGAGAGGTCAGTTTGTTTGACTATGGACTTTAATCTGAGGACAGGAGGAAAGTGATAGAAGGTGGTAGGATAAACCCCAGGTTGTTGGAGATTCTTGAAGTCAGATATTCATTGGGTAAAGCTTCACAGGGAGGAGTGCTGATTAGACCCGGGTGCCTGAAATCAAGATAATGGAGGGGCATATTTTTTTGGAAATGACAAGATCAGCGATATGACATTGGGAGTGAGTGGCTGGCTTAACAATTACTAAAGTAGAGGAGCTCAAAGACTGGAGTGATTTTGTAGGTGAAAGATGTTAATATCCTCAACAGTTAAGACAGACACAGCATTGGAGAGAATGAAAATATTCTCATGGGAATGAAGGGAAATCTCATGGGTGGAGGAGAAGGTGACTGCAGCCAGAGGACAGCCGGTAGTGCTCTCAGCACAGGATTTCGGAGAGGATGAAACGAGTTTACACCACATGGATTTCTTAGCGCTGTGTACAGTGTTCACGTACAGTGACTTTTGTTCTGCATCTATGTGGCTGCGGGGAACAGTAGGTTAACCACAGTGATTATTTATATGGAGCGATTCATTTCTCTTCATTCTGAAACCTACCTTAGAGGCTGAGCTGCTCACACACTAGTGCAACCAGGGGAGACAGTGAAGTTCCTCAGTGTATCCAACAGACAGGTTTTGACTGGATGAATTCTTCGCACAATTTGACCCTTATTTTCATTTCTAGTACAGTACTTTTCACTTTGTAGCAGCTGAAATTTTCTTGCAAGTGACTATATTAAGCTTTGCCTTTGCAAGTTTTTTTTACATACTGCATCAGAAAGAAAAACAGACAAATATAGAATTCTATTTTCAGGGTTTTTTTTTTTGGTAGAAAGAGAATTTTTTTTAAATATAATAGTTTATTTTTACATCATCAGTTTTTTTTTAATTCTATTTTTATTCTTTTGTCCAAAGCTAGGAGTAATGCATGCACATTTTAGAAATTTTGCAATATACAAAAAGGATAAAAAACAAAAGCATTCCCTTTTCTACCACTCATGATGTATATATGAGGGTAAGTAGGTATTGATTTTAGTCTCTTCTTTTTCTCACATACACATTTAAAAATCTTTTTTTTAAATTTGGATAATATGTACCTTTTTTTTCAGTTATCATGCTGATATCATTAAATATTCTTTGATAAAACATAAGATTTACAAATCTGTCCAGCATTTATTTTGGGATGAGCCTAATTATCTCTCTCCCAAATTGTATGTGTGTGTGCCCATCCAGTGAATCAATAATCCTTTCTTCTTGGATTGATCCATGATGCCGGCTCTGTCTTTCTAGCTTGTCTTTACCAAGGATAGCCTCTCCCAGGCTCCGTGCTGCTCACGGATCCAGAAAACTGCTTCTGCTTCTGAACCTAACTCTTCTCTCCCTTGTGTTTGCTGAGTCCCTTGCGGCCTCCTGGGTTGAGCTCTAGCTGAGACCAGTGCCAGCAGAAGGCCTGTTGTTAATTGTTAACCCTGATATTACTGGAAAACAGCTCTGACCGCTTCTGTCTTCTTTTTTTTTTTTCTTGGTTTTTACAGATGTTATTTGATCATCCTGAGACAAATGAGCCTTGGCCTCCAGACCCCGTAAAGCAAGTATCACTCCCATGGAGAGTAGTGCTGGTTCCTGAGGACCTGGAGGGTCTGCAGCCCTGGGGATATTAGTCAGAAGCAGGTAAGGAACACGGAAGGCTGGGATAGGAGGCAGCAGAAGGGCATGTTCCTGAATTTTTTTTAAAAAAGGCAGATAATTTGTGTAAATACAATGAGTCACTGGGTCTCAATATCTTTGTTATTTTCTCCTGGTATTATTTTTTGCCCTGATTCAATGATGTGGGTGGAATATATGATGTGTGTGTGTGTGTGTGTGTGTGTGTGTGTGTGTGTGTGTGTGTATGATATACATACATTGGAATTTAACCTGTAGTACCGTCTACCTTTTGTGAGTATCTACTATATGCTAAGCTTTTCATGCTAGACATATGGGAAAGAGGAGTAGACCAGGAACCTTACTTTGGCTGGAATTTTCTTTCTCCTGGTTTACTGTGGACTTGCTCTCTTGCTTGACTTGTTAATAGAAGTCTCATAGGGTTGTAAGAGTTTGTGGCTACAGTCACACCAATTCACTAATCAGTGCTGCTATGCTCCAGACACTGTTTGGAGGGCACTGGAATTTCAGGATGGTACAGGAAGGGGTTTTCCTGGAGTGGAAAAAGCAAATATTACTGAATGCTAGCTGTGAGTAGCAGGGAACACGAACAGTACAGAAATGGGGGTGAGCTCCACAGGGGTCAGAAATAGGAAAGTAATGCTGTCTTGTTGGCTGCAAGTGGAAAAGAGCAGAGATGGCCACAGCGCAGACGCCTGGAAGCTTAAAAGTCAGTTTGGGTGTGATTGAAAAATTCAAAACATAGTGTATTTCCCCAGAGAATTTCTGAAGAAAAATGTGTCTTGATGCGACTTCCCCCTTTTCCTGTTCTTCTTCAGGTGCCATGTGATTAGCTGTACATGGTGTCAGAGGAAACCATCTACTTTAGTTTTTTGATGATGCGACACCGTCAGTCTCCTCACTGATGTTTGTGTTCTTTTCCCTCTGTGTACTTTTCATCACGTGCCAAACTCTAGCAGGCTGAGGCAGCAACCCATCCTCCTCAGGGCCAGGGCTTCCTGAGGCTGGGGTGGTGGCAAGCTCTGCTGTGGTTGGACTACTGGGTACCACTTAAGGAGGGTCCTTGATGAAGTACTTGGGCCACATGCAGTGCTGTGCTCTGCCGTCATCACTGCCCTGTGTCGCCTCCAGGCACTGAGGGGCTGCTCTCTGGTCTCTGTTCAGAAAGCCTCCGTGCCTTTCCATGTACTCATTCCATACCCGTTCCCACCATCATGATTTGTTCCTCTAGAGCCTCACGAATGTGATAAATATCTGTGATATTATGATTTATAATAAATACATATATTTCTCATCCATATTTGGTCTTCATCCACAGTTTCTGGCTCTTGGCTCCCAAACCCTTGGAATTACCTGTCTGGAGCGATAATGGTGTCTTTTTGTGAGTGGGGTGACTTTCGGAAACATCTAAGGTTTGGAGTTGGGTGCTAGAGAAACCAACCTTTTGATTAGAGGGTTGGAACTTCCAGATCTACCTCCCATCCCCCCAGACCTCTGTGGGGGTGGGGAGACTGGGATTGAGTTCAGTGGTGATGATTTAATCACTCATGCTGTATAATGAAGCCCTCATAAAAGCCCAAGAGAAGGGATTCAGAAAACTTTCAGGTTGGTGTGGGAATATGTTAATATTTGAGGGGAATGGCACACCCTACAGGGAAGGGCATGGAAGTTCTGTGCCCTTTCTCTATACCTTGCCATATGCATCTCTTCATCTGGCTGTTCCTGAACTATATCCTTTGTAGTAAATCAGTGATATAGTGAATAAACAGGTATCTTGGGTTCTGTAAGCTATTTTAGCAAATTAGAGAAATCTGAGGAGGGAGTTATGAGTATCATCAGAAGTGCAGGTGACAGTCTTGGGCTTGAGACTGGCATCTAAAGTGGAGGGTGGTCGTAGGAGACTTCACCCTGAACCCGTGGAATCTGATGGCATTCCATAGTAGAGAGTTGTCAGAATTGAGTTGAGTTGAATTCTCAGAAAAATGCTGGGGCTCCCAAATTGTTTATCTTTGGGGCAAGCCTCCCATACCCACACACCCATGTTCCAGTTGGGTGGAAGAACCATTGTATAGATTTATTGCAGTAGAGAAACCTAGTTATTTACAAAAGGATTTGATGTTTTCCAACAGATAAAGACATTGTTTGAGTTCTAAGTGCATCTGTCATTCAGTTACACAATTCTGTGAAAACAAAGTAGTTCTTTACCCAGAAATAAAGGGGACTATTGAGTTCCTATTTGCTTAGCAAGATCCATGTTCCAGAAATCTCAGAAGTTCTGTGCATAGTGTAGTGAAAAGAACATATTTTATGGAACCCAGGACACTTGGATTTGAATTTCAGCACTACCATGTACTCAGTTTATGATCCTGATCTCTTCAACTGTCAGAGCCTATGGTGCAGACCTATAAAAATGGCTAGTAAAGAACACCTTCTGCCCAGTGAGGGTCAGTGCAGCTGCCAGCACAGGAGATGCTCTTGCATTAGATGCAGGTGCCCCGAGCTTGCTGGTTGGTGCATCACAGGAACTCTGTTACAGTTAACTGACAAGAAACAACATCTTATGCACTTAATGGACCTTCATTTCCTTAATTGGTCACGTGTCTGCTATCTCACCAGGATTTCTTTCCTTCACAGTGCTGTGAGTCAGCTTCCTGCTGCTTGATGACTCTTCCAGGGTATCCCCAAAATCAGAATGCTGCTTCTTATGCAGGCATCCAAGGTTGTGGCCCTCACATATGTCACAAATCTATGATATTGTCTATGGGGAGTGATCCACTTTCTGGTGGCTTTGGAAGGACGCTGGACTACGTAGGATATTAGGGAGCTTGGGCTCTAGTAATGCAGCCACCCAGCCTGCTCTTTTTTCTTCTAATTCTTAAGCATGCATTTAACAGATTGTGTGGCACTGGAAACCAGCTGAGATGTAAGATGTGGCTCCTGACCTAAGAAACCTAGGATGTAGTCAGGAAACCACAAAAGATAATGTCAACCTGAAGGTCAAGGTGTAAAAAGAATGATAGGAGAATATATATTGTTAATGTTCCAGAGAGGATGATGGAAATGTCTGAGGACTGCTCTCAACATTCAAAGCCTGAAGTCAGGGTGAATATTTTTGAGTTGCTGATGATTTCAGAACTTCTGGCACTTGGGCCCAGGCTAGAATTCAAGTTTGGTCATTCTATATCTATCACTTAGCCAAATCCTGCCTTTTGCCATTTGTACTTTTAGCCTTACTTTACCTCAATTTTTGTCTTGGTCTCTCACTTTCTTTAGGCTGGTTTTCCTGCTCAGAACAGAGTCTATTCCTTGAACGCATCTTCATTATGATTCACACCAACTTGAAGAAAAAGTTCAGCTGCTGTGTGCTGGCCTTTCTCTTGTTTGCTATTATCTGTGTGTGGAAGGAAAAGAAGAAAGGAAGTTACTTTGATACCCTTAAGTTACCAACTAAGGAATTTCAGGTATTGAAGAGTTTGGAGAAACTGGCCATGGGATCTGGTTCCCAATATACCTCTTCAGGCAACACCCAGGACCCTGGCAGGAACAGTCAGAACCACCACAGTTCCAGGGGACCAGCCAAGCCTGCGGGCACCTACCAGGTGTGGAACAAGGACAGCTCTTCTAACAACCTGATCCCTAGGCTGCAGAAGATCTGGAAGAATTATCTGAAAATGAACAAGTACAAAGTGTCCTACAAGGGGCCAGGGCCAGGTGTGAAGCTCAGTGCCGAGGCCCTGAGCTGCCACCTCCGGGACCAAGTAAACGTGTCCATGGTAGAAGCCACAGATTTTCCCTTCAACACCTCCGAATGGGAGGGTTACCTGCCCAAGGAGAACATCAGGACCAAGGCTGGGCCTTGGGGCAGGTGTGCTGTCGTCTCATCAGCAGGATCTCTGAAGTCCTCCCAACTAGGCCGAGAAATAGGTGGGTTCTGCGGGTGTTAACTGAGCAGCTACTAATCTAGGAGTAGCTGGGCATATGGAAAGGACTGGAGACAAGAGCCCAAGTATAGCAGCAGGGACTAGTGGAGTGAATCCGCATCGGTGTTTTTCTTTTCTTCTTTAAAGATTTATTTATTTGTGGCCCTCCCTGGTGGCGCGGCGGGTTAAAGCACTGCACTGAGAAGCTAAAGCCACTTCTACATGAGTTCGATTCCCGCCTGCCCCAGAGGTGACCACATGGCGCAGCAGACCTCTCCTGACCCGCCCGCTGCTCCCCTCAGCAGTGTACTTCCTTGATCTGCCTGTTCTGCTCCCCACTCTGTCTCTGGTAAAGCCTCTCACTGCCCTTGCACCTCTGGCCTGTACCCCAGTTCTATATGCATAAATAAATAAATCTTTAAAAAAAAAGATTTATTTATTTGTGCATACAGGCCAGAGGTGCAGGGGCTGCGAGAGGATTCACCAGAGACAGAGTGGGGAGTAGAACAGGCAGATTGACAAAGTACACTGCTGAGGGGAGCAGCAGGCGAGACAGGAGAGGTCTGCTGCACCATGTGGGTCACCTCCCTGACAGGGGATTGAACTCAAGCTGAGGCCTCTGAGGCTAGCTTCACAGTGCAGTGCTTCAACCACCAGGGAGGGGCCCCACTTCGGTGTTTTTCAACTGCCTGTTATGCTTCAAAGGGACCATGGGAGCCACTGAAAAGATGGGGATCTTTATTAATTTGAATTGTTTCATTTTTTATCTTTTTAAATATTGAGTGTCCACAAAAGACTTCAATTGGAATTCAGTTGCTCTACCAAAAAGCAGACATTACATTGACATTTAAAAATCACCAGAGCACAAATCTTTTGATCAACCTAAATTATAAACCAAAGAATTCCAGGTTGAACAGTCTGGAGACCAGGCCATGGGGCCTGGGTCCCAGCCTGCACCTTCAGGCAGCACCCAGAAAGCACCCAGGACCCCCGCAGGCACAACCTCATGCTCAGTGGTCTTCAAGTCCTGTAATTGTTCTGATTAATTGAGGACTAATTTTGTCTCTGGAAATCAACTATCCGGGTAATCCTCAGCTTTTCTTCTTGAAAATAACTAAATAGAGCAGACATTCTTAATTTGGGGAGTAACTTTCAGGTGGTGTATAAATCCCTAAAATCTCATGCAAATGTACTTTTTGGATTAGATGTGCATAATGTATGTACATGTGTGCAAGTCAGTCGATTCTACTTTCCACAGAAGTGTCACAGCTTTCAGTTGGTTCCAGAGCTGGTAATTCAAAGAAAAGTTAAAAGTTACTTTTAACTTTTAACTTGTTTTAAGTTAACAATATATCACTTGTTTTTCTTGAAGTCCTTTGCAGGTAATATGAGAGATCGTTTCCCACATTTATAAGTATGAATACAACACAGAGCCACAGATTTGCCTGTAGCTCCTTAGTTCCCTTATTTTGAGAGAATGTGTTTTTCATTATTGTGCAATGAATCAGGCTAAAGAAAGCAAAGCATATGAAGCCTTGCTCTTCTGTCAGTCTCTGGAAGGTACAAGCAGGTGAGGTCATATGTCTACTTTTTATTTCCTTCATATGACTGCCAGGAAAAATGGTCTGAAACTAAGCTCAGGCTTTCAAAAGAAGAAAAAATAGACCCACATTTGGAGTCTCTAGAACAGAAAGAAGTAGTGAGATCACATTTTGCCTCCCCAAATAGGCAGCACTTCTTAATAATAGCTGCCAAGTGGCCAACTCCATGAAACTTTTACTTTTGCCTTTTGGTTTATTTTGGATTTCATTTCCAGAAACTAATTATGATTGGTTTTTGCCCATCCATGGTAGGACTAAATTCCTTTCTTTCTTTCCTATTTTGGTTCCCTAATGGTGATGCTTCTAATATCCTACCTGTTCGCTGATTCCTTTCATGTCGAATTATCATTTTGTGTCTGACTGAAATTCTGTTGATTTTCGAGGTATATCCCCTAGAGCTACAATCTTTATTTTTAGACACTCCATTAAAATTTTGAGTAATTTATTTACTTATTTTTGAGGGTCTGGGGATCTGTATTTATTCTTTAGTATTTAAGTTCGGGGCTTTTTTTTTTTTTAACCTTTCAGATGTGTGCATGTTCGACTTGCCCTCCAAACCATGGTTCATGCCCCATCAACGTTGAGTGATTTAAATAAATATTAAGTAAAGTAATCTTTTTCTAGAGATAGCAGCTATCACTTCAAGTATGTATTTCCATGGGAGGACTTTGATCCTGAGATAGAACAAAAACTGCTTGTTTAGCTTAAGATGTTCTGCTCTCTGTCAAGGCCAGAGGTGCAGGAATGGTGGGAGGATTCACCAGAGACAGAGTGGGGTGTAGAAGTTCAGTGGGGTGCAGAAGTACATTGCTGAGGGAAGCAGCAGGCAGGTCAGGAGAGGTCTGCCGCACCATGTGGGACACCTCCAGGGTGAGGGATCAAACTCGTGAAGGGGCTGCTTCTAGCGTCATAGTGCTGTGCTTTAACCCATTGCACCACCAAGGAGGGCCCTCATTTTTTATTTTTAATTCATTCATGAACTCTTCAAAAATACAAACAAGGGACTTAAAATATAAAGAGGAAAGGGAAGGGGGGAAAAGGCTGGTATCGAAGATCTGTGAGTTTCAGGCAACATGCCAGGCTCACAGCTTTCCCACTGGGATTTGTCCAGCCTCTTCCCAACTATGGAGCATTGCAGTTGGCTTCAAATTTTGCTCTCACAAATACTGTTGTTAACAAAGTTTGTGTGCAGATCACTTGACTGTTACTGCCTGTCAACAGAAGTAAGACTAGAAGACCAAAGTGGGCTACATTTTATGTCTCTTTTGTCCATTGTGCAGTTGTTACCCAGAGAGCTTGGAATAATGTCCTGTCTCTCTAGCAGTCCCAGAAGCCAGTCAGTGGTATGCTCAGCCTCTTTCAATTATTTTTGATACTTACACATGTAGAGATGTGTTAGAATTCTCATTTTAAACAATGGCATATGTTTTAAGACAGTATGACCAGTAGGAATAATGCTTATTGGTCACTCGCTATCTGCCTAACGTGATTTTTCTCTCTTAATCCTATGAGGTAGGTACTATTGTTTATTTTTATTTTATTTTATTTTTTTTAAAGATTTATTTATTTGTACATACAGAACTGGGGTACAGGCCAGGGGCAGTGAGAGGCTTCACCAGAGACAGAGCAGGGAACAGAACAGGCAGATCAACGAAGTACACTGCTGAGGGGAGCAGCGGGTGGGTCAGGAGAGGTCTGCCGCGCCATGTGGTCACCTCCGGGGCAGGCGGGGATCGAACTCATGCGGAAGCGGCTTTAGCTTCTCAGTGCTGTGCTTTAACCCGCTGCGCCACCAGGGAGGGCCTGTTTATTTTTTTATGAGCTAAGTGTTGTGACTCAAAAAGATACCACAACTGGTTAATAGACTGGGACTGGAAGCCAGTTTGTTAGCTAAAATTTCCTCACATTTGACCCCTCTGTTTTTGTCCCTGATTGTGATTATAGCTCCAAAATAAATTTTGATATAATGATTCTTTGTCAGCTTAAAAGAAAGTCCCTTGATATTCCTGCCAGTGTTAACTTCTACAGGAAAGGAGAGAGCATGCTGTGTTGAGACCAAGGCAAGAAGCAGAGTCTGAGCAAAAGTGCAGGGGACATTGGGTATTACACGTAGCACGTAGTCCTGTTTGTCTGAGATGTGGGGTCCATTGGGGTGAAGGCTGGGAGTTGAGGCCAGAAAGGTAACAAGGGTCAGCTCTTAGACGATGTTGATAGTCATAATAAGAACTCTGGGTTTCATTCTTTAAAACATGGAGGACTCTAGAAGGTTTTTGAGCAAGCCAGCAGTGTTAGAAGTGATTTCTGATTTCTTTCTGAATTCCTTTATTCAGAGTATTACTGTATAGTCTCTCTTTTATTAAGGACTCTTGTCCCATCCAGGTGAGATGTGTCAGGCCTGTCTGAGACAGTAGTGGAGAGAAAAGGTCTGACTTGAGAGGGGCATCGTTAAGGAAAAGACAGAACTTGCTGTGTAACTAGAAGTGACAGAGTGAGAATCAGATTCCAAGAGTTTCTATCCTGGATCACAGAGGAGCAAGTTTGTGATAAGAATAGGTGCTCTTTCAGATGTGCTGAATCTGAATCATTTGTGAATTTTCCTGGGTGAGTTTCTATGTGGTTGAGTAGTTGATTCTGGGGAAGGGATCAGGGCAGGAGGTCAAATTTCGCAATCTTTTCTATCATGCTGATTGTTGTAGTCAGAGAAAATGACCAATGTGGAAATCTAGGGGAAAAAAAAGTATGCTTGCAGGGCAGGGAAAGATCAGGGACAAACAAAATGAAATTGAGAAAGGCCAAGGTGAGGACTGGAGGAGAATCAGGGGTGTACTCTATGCCAGATGGTAGAGGAGGATGGTTTGGGGGTGGGTGAACAAGGTCTTGAGTGTAGACTGAGAAAACACCATTGGTTTGGCAGCACAGAGATTGCGATTATTTCTATTAGGAGTTGGGGATTTTTTCTAAAAAAGCACAAATAGTATTTTCCATTTGAAACCATACAGCATTTGTCCAATTACTCAACACTCCTGTCACAGTGCAAAAGCAGCTATAGACAGGAGGAATTTAATGGGCCTGGCAATGTTCTAGTAATACTTTATTTACAGAAACAGGGGACAGGCAAAGTCTGAGTACTGTAGTTTGCCAACCATGATCCTAGTATATCTGGTTTCTCTAACCAGAATGTAGTTTTCCAAAAATCATTAGATGATTTATTAATCTAATTAGAAAATATAAAAACCATTTGACCCAAATATCATAAATCATTTTCCATTTACATTATTTCCAGCTACTTAGAATTACTATACCTGGAGGCAGGAGATTCTGTTGTAAATTTACTAATGAGCTTGTTCTGTTGAATTTTCTGGGCATGTAATTATATTATTTCCATACAGTGATGTATTTATCTCTTCCTTTTCTCATTTACATTCTTTTCTGCTCTCTAATTCTCTATAAGAAGAGCCTTTTTTTGTGGCCTCCTGCAGAGGAAGGATCTGGTTTGCTGGAATCCTACTAGCTGTGGATTTGTCTTGATGATTTCCTGGAGGCTAATTTGAGCGTTGAAACTTTTTTTCTGCTTTCCATAGCAGAGGACAGTTTGGCAAATAAGGAGTCTCTTTCCCTTTTTATGAACTCAATTCAGTGGTGTATTTGAAAATTTTCTTCTTTGACTTTTTTTTTTTGGTTTAGAATAAACTCCAGGGACCCTCCCTGGTGGTGCAGCGGGTTAGGATGCAGCACTGCAAGCCAGCCACAGCCACTTCAGTGCGAGTTCGATCCCTATCCCCCACACCCCAGGAGATCCACATGGCGCGGCAGACCTCTCCTGACCTGCTCCCCTCAGCAGTGTACTTCGTTGATCTGCCTGTTTTGCTCTCCACTCTGTCTCTGGTGAACCCTGTCACTGCCCCTGCACCTCTGGCTTGTATCTCAGTTCTATACATATAAATAAGTCTTTAAAAAAAAAAAAAAAGGGGGCCCTCTCTGGTGGCGCAGCGGGCTAAAGCACAGCACTAAGAAGCTTAAGCCACTTCCGCATGAGTTCGATTCCCGCCTGCCCTGGAGGAGATCCACATGGCGAGGCAGACCTCTCCTGACCCGCCCGCTGCTCCCCTCAGCAGTGTACTTCATTAATCTGCGTGTTCTGCTCCCCACTCTGTCTCTGGTGAATCCTCTCACCCTCCGCATCTCTGGCCTGTACCCCAGTTCTGTATGAATAAATAAATCTTTAAAAAAAAAACACACAAAAAAAACCTCTATACTTCATACTGGCCTCCATCGTCTTATCTTAGCTGCCAGCTTTTATTTTCCTGACTCATTTGTCTCAGCCTTAGTCTCCTGGGGGAAGCGGGGAGATCTTACATTGCTGCATCCTCTGTCTGCAATGCTTTTCTCTGGACCCTTCCCATGCTTTGGGTCTCAGCTCATGGACGTTCCTTTAATCATGAATCTGTCTGAAGGCAATTCCCCCAGGGTCTCTGTTAGCTTAGTCTATTTGTGTCATATATTAATCATAAACCATAATTATCTTGAGTATAGATTATTGTGCTGATTTTTTAATCTCCTTACAGTAGATAGTGAGATCTCTGAGGACAAGGACCCTGCCTCTCTCACTTACAACCACTTTTTTTAGCACCTGTAACACTACCTGGAACAGAGTAGGGGCTTAGTGAGTTTTGCACCTTTCTTATAGTCAGCACCAAGGACTATCCGAAGCTTCCAGTGCTGGATGTTCTCTTTGCTCCTTCAAACCCACTGTCCTATGTTTTGTAGCTGATTCTGTACTTGGAATCAAAATTGGAAGTGTGTCAACTGGGCTTCCTTGCTTTTATTTGGCACTGAACAATAGACACCCTGGTATGAAACTGAGAGTGAAGGCAGTTGCATGATGGCTTGCAGGGTATCCATGATGGCTTTTCTCCCTTGGCTGAAAGTCTCAGTCACTTTCAAGTACCCCTCTCTGATTCTCCCCTTCCCTTCAGGCCCTCTCTGGTGGTGCAACAGGTTAGAGTGCAGCACTGCAAAGCTAAGCCAAGCCATGGCTGCTTCAGTGCTAGTTCGATCCCAGGCCCCGGAGGTGAACCACCTGGCACAGCAGACCTCCTCTGTCTCTCCCACTGCTCCCCTCAGCAGTGTATTACTCCCAATTCTGTTTCTGGTGAATCCTCTCGCCTCCCCTGCAACTCTGTCCTGTACCCCATTTCTGTATGTGCAAATAAATAAAATCTTAAAAAAAAAAAAAAGTCAGGGAAAGAAGAGAGAGCAATCCCCTTTGGCTGGCTGGATTCTCCTAAGCCAGAGTCCCCAGCAGGTGGCCTTTAGCTCAGGGTCTCTGCACCTCTTGCCAAGCTAGGTGGTGGGTATTGATGGCTCCTTGCTGGAGCCACTCTGGGCTCCATCCTTATCAGTTGCCATAGACTACCCATGGTTTTGTCAATAATACCTTTTTTTTTTTTTTTTCCAGTTTTGGCCTCAGGTCCTAAATGGACTGGTCCTTGATTTCCATAGTGGATTGGTCCTACTTGCTGAGTACTGTGAGCTAGATCAGGGTGAAGCGAGGTACTTGGCACTTGTGTGTTACAGCTTATAGTAGTGCTTTCCTATTTTTTTTTTTAAGATTTTATTTATTTATTCATACAGAACTGGGGTACAGGCCAGAGATGCAGGGGCGGTGAGAGGATTCACCAGAGACAGAGCAGGGAACAGGACAGGCTGACTGATGAAGTAACTGCTGAGGGGAGCAGCGGGCGGGTCAGGAGAGGTCTGCCACGCCATGTGGTCACCTCCGGGGCAGGCAGGGGTCGAACTCATGCGGAAGTGGCTTTAGTTTCTTAGTGCTGTGCTTTAACCTGCTGCGCCACCAGGGTGGGCCCGCTTTCCTATTTTGACAGGGATAGAGAACTAACCTAATGGTACTACCAAGACAATTTTGATTTGGCTTCTTTGTTAAGTGGAACGGTGATTCCACTATACAGAGCTCACTGCCTTGTCTACTTGTTGCTGTTACCTAGGCACACTGGTGTCGCTAAGTGCATTTCACGAGTGCCCCTGCCGTGGCTGTGCACACATGTGGTCATCTCTGCCCATGAACTTTGCCTTGCTGCACCATGAGACACGATAATTTCCCCTGTACCATAATGGGAAAAAGACTGGGGAGATTATTTTGTTGCCCTTCCCCCACCCTCTCTCCCTGCAGCCACCCTCTTGTTCTGTACATTACTGATGCCCATCATCTCTTCTCTGTTTCCTTGTGGCTTTTAGATGATCATGATGCCGTCTTGAGGTTTAACGGGGCACCCACAGCCAGCTTTCAACAAGATGTCGGCACGAAAACTACCATCCGCCTGATGAACTCACAGGTAAGACTTGGAGGGAGAGAAGGCAGAGTATGGGTTGAAAAGTAGAATGTTATCTATAGGAAGCGCATCAAAGCTACGTGCTTAATTCAGCCCCTTGACCTCCCTGAGTGCTGAATTCCTCATTGTAGAAGGGGAAGACAGTGACTACCTGACCCACTCTGGTGCTAAGATCACAACAAAGCCCCTGGGGGCTAGTCTGTCTGGAATGGAGGTGTCTGGTGCTCAGAGGAAAAGTGTCCTGCGTCCCTGCAGCCCTTACAGGTCCAGGTCCTGTCTGGGTGTTGGGTGAGGGACTGAGGACCGTCAGGGAAAGCGAGATGTTGTGAAGAGTCAGTGAGGCCACACAGGTGGGTGGGCTTGTGAGCTGTGACTGTTGCACAGGTGGCATAAGACCAGCACCACACGTTCAGATGCAAGACCACATCAAATTCAGGTATTACCTCACGATTTTCCCTAGATAATTAGCTTCCTGAAGTATTTCCAGGTAGCAGGTGGGAACTTGAGAAATACTCTTGCTACACATTTCTGTTAGTGGGTTTAATTAGTGGAAAGAGCTGTATCACACCAATATCAAAAATAGCCTTAGAAGTGACAAACCACTTACCTCACTTAACACTGTGCAATCTGTCTTTTCCTCAGTAAACCTGAGCTTTGGGTGTTCAAATGTTAGTGTTTAGCCTCTGCACATATCCCAGGATGTCTGGGCAGGGAGCGAATCCTGGAAGAGGTGTCAGTGTCCTTCCAGCTGTCCTGGCAGAAAGGCATCTCTCTGCCCTCTGCCAGCTCTCCACTCTCCGTTTCTGTCTCTCTTTACTGGTTGGCTTTCAGAAGCTCACCAGCAGATCGGAAGCTGCTTGCTGTATGACCTACTTTCCATTGGAGGCCCACAGTCATAGGAAACTTTATAAATGAGCATGCTGGACTTTTTGCCACACCACTCTGTAGTTTCTCAAATACTGTTGTCATAACAGTATTGTCACTTTGATCTTCCAGTCGCCTTGATGTGCTCCCCATGCAGAATTATCATGCAACTTTATGTTTTGGGTTTTTCTATTGATTTTATTGTAACTTATATGACAGGCAAGATGAAAAGAAATTGATTCGTCAGCAAGAAAATCTCTGGAGCTATTGCTAGACTTTGAAAGATGGGCAGGATTTGGAGGACTAATGGTTGGGAGGCACCCCCAAAAGAGGGATTGGCAGCATAGACATTTATAGGAAATGAGGGAGGTATTCAAGCAGGCCTGGCTGCTGTTGGGTAGGGTGGGGATTTGTGATGCCTGACAGAGGGAGACAGGCTGGCCCTGCAGCTCCTCAGACTCACACAAGGCTAGGTCAGGCAGAGGGGTTGGGATGAGGCTTCCCATTTTTTCCTTTCTGGTGCCCCAGTTACTGAACTGAAGGAAGCAGGAGATATCCCAGGGAGTGCCAATGCCTAACTTGTGCTCTTCTGGAAGAAAAATGTGTTTTTAGAGATGGCTAATGCTTAATGATCCATGAGAAATATCTAGGAGTTTTGTTCCTTCCATATCTTCTTCCATTCCCTCCTCTCTTTTCCCCTCTTTCCTTCCTTCCCTACCCTCTTCTTTCTTTCCTTCCACAAGTATGGGTAGTGTTGAAGAGCGTGTAGCAAACAGTGTGTAGACCTGCAGGTGGTATGCTTCAGGTTGAAACCCAGCTCTGCCTTTTATTAGCTAAATGATCATGTACAACATACCTCATGCTTTCACTTACGCGTCGGTGGTGACACGAGAACAGTAATACTTCTCACAAGGTTGATCGAAGAATAAGTGAGAAATCTATGCAGCGCACTTAGCACTGGCACATATATCCGTGATTCTTGCTTACTCCTAATTTCATGTGTGCCGACTCTCATTTGGTGTGGAGGATACATGAACAAAGCATGTTGGCTCCTGTTCTAGAGTTGCTCGAATGGCTACACAAAGAAATACAGAGTTGTACAGAGAACTGCAGAGGTGGGTATCAAGGTGCTAGCAGAAACCTTAAAAGGACATTTTTACATAGTCAGGAGAGTCAGGAAAAGCAAGGAGGTGATGCTCAGCCGTGGGGGGAGGAGGAGATAAGAGAGATAAAAGTTTTGCAAGAGCCAACAACTCTGTGTGAAAGTCTCGAGTGCAGGCAGGCCTAGCAAGTAGGAGGTCAGTGTATGGGGTTGTGGAGGGGTGAGGAGGAAGATAAGGAGCAAGCCATGACTCTGTGTGAAGGAGCTTTCTTCCTTGTGGCATGTCCAGGCTTGCATTTTGCAAACATCCCTCATCATAGACACAGCAGAGCTTGGAGAGCAGCGGTAGAAGGCTCTTGTAGCCTAGACGAGACCTGCTGGGGGTTGCCTGAGGGGAGAAATGCAAGTGAGTGTGAGAAAAGTGGACCCAAGAGATACTTGGTTTGTGAGATCAGCAGGCTTTCCTGTCTGGTCAGGTGTGAGGAGTAGGGGAGAGGCACTACAAGCATAGCAGGGAGTCGCTTGTGCAAGTGAGATGAAAGTACCTGAAGTTGTCTGGGTTGTGAGGGCTAGAGTCGGAAGGGAGGGTAGAAATAAAAAATGTGGTTCTGGAAATGCTTGATCTGAGCTGGTTTTTCCCGATCTGTGACGAGATGTCAGGTAAGCAGTGTGCACAGGGGTAGCAGTTTGGTGGACAGGCTGGGTTGGAGCTGAAGACCTGTGAATGGTCTCCGTGTGGCAATGGAATGTGGGGGGCAGTGTGAACTCTAAAGAAAGTGTGTAGAGACAGGAGAGGAGACCCAATGCTGGGGCATTGGGTGTCGAAAATCAGAGAGAGAGGGCGAAGTCAGCACTGGTAGATGTCACTGATGAGACAGTGTAGATGAAGCAAAATGGAGGCTGCTGGTAACTTCCCAACAGCAGATGGAGGGAGAAATCCAGGAGTCACAGCAGAGTGCCTGGAGGCATGAGTGGGGAAAGTGACTGGAGCAGATACTTGGAGATGGTTCTTGTAAGAAGCCTGGCTCTGAAGGGCAGGAAAGAAGTAGGGCAACAGCTATAGGCAATTAAGGGTCCCATTGGTTTTGTTCTGCTCATGCTTCAGACCAGAAAGTTTGAATGTGTTTAAAAATCAATGGGGAGTTGCCCCAGAGGTGACCCACATGGTGCAGCAGACCTCTCCTGACCCGCCTGCTGCTCCCCTCAGCAATGTATTTCGTTGATCTACCTGTTCTGCTCCCCACTCTGTCCCTGATGAATTCTCTCACTGCCTCTGTATCCCAGTTCTGTATGCATACATAAATAAATCTTTTTTAAAAAGTCGATGGGAAGACAGTCAGAAAAGTTCGATTTCTGTATGAATCCCTAACATGAGGTACATGGAGTAGTCAAATTCATAGAGACAAAAGTCAGAATGTTGGTTTCCTGGAGGAGGAAGCACTGGGAAAATGAAGAAGTTCTGGAGGTGGATGGTGGTGATAGAGACACAACACCCATAGTCTGCCATTAAGCTATGCACTTAAAAATGGTTAAAATGGCACTTATATTACATGTATTTTGCCACAATAAAAGTCATTGTGTCAATGAGGAGAAACCAGTTGATAGAAGGAGAAATTTAACATACTAACCAGAGAAGATAGTAAGTAGTTCCTGAAACAGTAATGGGAATTGATGCAAAACCCAGGTGAGGATGAGCCCCAGCAGGAGAGAGTTGGGGAAGATGGATTGGGGCTTTTGTGTGTGTGTGTGTGTGTGTGTGTGTGTGTGTGTGTGTTTGGAATCAGTTTGTGGTAGAAGGATGCAAGAGCTTCTATTTTCTCTGCACAGTTGGATGCAAGGCCCTATTGGGGGGAGTCTGACTGGGGGAGGAAGTTTGAACAGAGGTGATTTAACATTGCCTTTGAGAAGCGTGGAGGCGGGAATAAACCAGAAGAGTGGAGTAGGCTCTCCAAGTTTTGTAGCCACGTTGCATTGGCAAGCATGAATTTAGAGAGAACTTAACTCTGCTTGAGCAAGTCTGATAGGATCTGCTGATCAGCGGGTGGCAGCAATAAAAAGAGGGAGAAGGAGAAGCTCTGGAAATACGATCAGACTGGGCAGGCTACCACCTTTTGGGGCATCTCTTCATGGGAGTTTAGTGTGGAACTAAATCTCAACCATGGAAAAATTCTAGAACTCAGAATCTTTGCCAAGTAAGGTTTTCTGTGCATGAAGAGACAGACTTTGATCAGATTCCTCCTTGAACACTTCTTACTTGAGTAACTTGAGCAAATGACTTTATCTTTCTAAGCTTTAGCTTCTTTAGTTGTAGAGGGGAGTAAAGAAAGTTGGCATGAGAGTCTTTGTAGGGTCAAATGGCATTTCCAGGCATGGAGCGCTTTATCCAGAGGTCTGTAGCTAGTGCTCTTCAAGTGGCGGAGGTGGTCTTTACCAGAGCTGCAAGGCCTCTGTGTGTTGGAAACTTCAGTGCTGTGCCCATGTGACTCTGGCCTTCCACTGGTGATATTCAGCCAGCATGGGGCCTTCTGGGAGGTTAAACTTGTCTCTACAGAGGATAAATTTTAGAAAATGGTAGGTCACGACATTCATGCATCTGTTTTATTCAGATGCGGGAAACAGGTAGATGTTATAACCCCATTCAGGGCACACATCTGCCAGAGTTAAGAGGTGGTTGGCCTCCTTCCTGGGGTACACTGTCTACTCCCAAGAAAGTCTTTCCTAAAGGAGCCATCAACCCTCCTTTCCTTTCATAAGTGGTCCTAGATATCTGGGCTGTTATTTCATATTCTCATCACAGGTGGCTCTGTTGCAGAACTTCTTGGGATACTGACTGTGACTGACACCCTTCTGCCATTATGCTTTGATAGCCCAGCAAGCTGGGGGGGCAATTTCTCTTTGGTCCTCACTTATATCCCAGCTATTTTGTGTCTATTTCTGTGGATGAGCAAACTGCACCCTCACCGTGGCACACAGGGAGTGTGGGCCACCCAGGTGGTTTTGGGTCACTTTGGGTAGGACCTTGTGGTCAAGCAGCTTG